TCTTAAGTATAAGACCTGATTTATATTATGAAGCGAAAACTTGTATTGCTGGAAGAAGACTAACGTATATTTGATTCAAATATAGAATTACTCAAAATAACAGATTCATCTTTTTAATATAATTTTTGTAAATGTTTCAAGAAGATTTATTATTTTCAAAATAACCATGTTGTGCTCTTTAGTGGACTATCGCAATATTTATAATATCGTTGGGACTCAAAATTACTAAATTCTTGTAAAAAAAAATTATATATTCTTGTTTGTATAAAAAATAACGATCTTATCGGTTAGAGTATATAAGTCTTGAGTTGACACTTGATTTTTTCCGTCTGGGGTTTCTGCGAAATCTCCGGTGACGCTGGATCGATGTACTCACACATACGTACAGCATATTTTAATTGATTCGGATTTAAGTGGATTAATGGGCCCGACGAAGGTTAAATGCGTTAAAATACGGTGCTCGTTAAGTCAACTGTCTTGTTAAGCGTTACGTGTAACGTCACGCGATTTTCGGCCGAAACACAACGTCGACGCGTTTATCTCTCGCATAAAAATGTTATCCGCGCCGCGCGTTCTCTTAAGCCGATAAAAGTGCGCAATTGTCGTAAATAACGCGGCTGAGTAAATCTTTCGGATGCGTCGCTTAAAATCAGGTGGTGCCGGCTTGAACCTGAAAAAGTGGTGCCGCGCCCCGTTAACCGCATTAATTCAACGGTCGCGCTGCTCGTTAATTCGCCGATTGCATTGCAATTGAACGTGCGAGCCCGGCCAGAGCGCTACGTTTTGACGGGACGAGAATTGACTGTCAAAAGTCGGCAGGCTATGAGATTAAGCGACGACAGATCCACAGTTTGTCACCCGAAGACGTGCGGGCAATTGAGGCCGCGGGCGTACACGCTTTTTAAAACGCGCGAAAGTCCGTCGCGCCGTTGCAGCGCTTTTTGCGGGAGAAAGAAGCTGGATAAAGATTTGTCGTCTGCGAAGCGTCGCAACGGAAACGATTCAGAAGTTTGCAAAATATATTTAACTAAGTAATAACTTTAAAATGTAAACATATGCGAAATATGTATGTATCTTAAATTATTAAGAAATTAAAAAATGGATCGAGTATATTTTTTGCGAAATTTGTGAGTGAATCGAATAACACAATTTCTAAGATATTCTATGTACCTACATAAATATTCCTTTTTTTCTTGTTTTAATTAGATTACATTGACGAAACTTTTACAAATGCAGGCTTATTATTTTTTGATATAACATTTTCATACCGTAAGAGAAGGAATATCTAAAAGATAAAAAGTATTTATTTATTTGATGTTTAGTGATAACATATTTATTTATATTAATATACTTTATATTGAAAAAGAACTATTTTTTTCAAATGAAAAATTATATAATTTCTTAAAACTGCACCTTTTCATGAAAACAATTGTTTATTCTGCTCAAATAAGAGAATTTAAATTTAACTAAATATGTTATTATTGCCTACCGAATAAATATTTATTTTTCTCCCAATATATAGTTGTTGCATCGTTTCGAAATATTTTTGCTTAGCCTTTGATTATTCATTCAATTTTGAACGACAAAATCAGAGTTTCTCGCCGGGAAAGCGTACATCGTTATCCATAATCTACGTCGCTCCCGACTCCACCCGATACTACCCCGATCAAATCCGTTAATTAGCCCATGCGCGGATAATGAAGGCCCTTTCTTCTCGCTACAGGGAAATTTACAGCTGCCAACGGACACGGGCGCTCGTAAACAGTGAAAGCGGCGCACCGGGCAATTTAAGAACGGCCCGTCGGGGTTAATTGGTTCGCTGCCTTTGGACAAACGTGTAGCCCGCGTGCATTACGCGGCACGCACTCTCCCCGCGAATTACCTTCCACCTTGCGTGACGTTTGCCCGCGTATCGCTGTGTGTGCACGCTGCTTTGCCGCCTCCCGAGACCGGTGCGCTCCTCCTCACCTCTCATCTCACGGTAATACCGAGAATGGCGAATCGGCGGCGGTCAAAGTGCAATTTCCATCGAAAGCCGAAAGTACGCCCGTCCCGGCATTCCCACGCGAGATCGCGTCGTATGAGAGCCATTATCCACCCACGTCGTGAATCTCGCCTCGGCCAAGGGGTTATCAATCAACCGGCGCGATTAAGGATTGACGACTCCCATCGGCGCCTTTTTCATGCAATGAGCGAATCCTTCAACGTCTCGGCGAACGGCGCGTCCTTGACGCTCACTTTGCGCAACGTTCGGTGGACCACCTAAAACGACCGCATGTTCCGACGACCCCGCGCGGTTTTGACGTATTATTTAAAATAGACCGCTATTAATAATGGCCCGAAGAGCGCGCGCGCGCGCACATGACGCGAGACGTCGTACTTCCGTCTCTGTGCGAGAGCCGATTTCGCGGCAAGCCCCGAGTCGAAGCTTTGACGCCGCTTTGACACTCTCAAGGTTAATTTGCGGCTACTCGGGTGGTCTGTGGATTAGCAAAATCCACTTCGACGATACTACGTTTGTTAACATTTCTTCTTCGACCTTTAATTCTACAAATTTAATTTTAATATCTGCTGCAAAATCTATTCCGACGCTGAAACAACGAAAACGGGAATTTAAGACGGCATTATGGTCGAAGTAGGAATTATATCATTAAAATTGGAAAATAAATTAATAAATCTATGTATGACCCTCTTGTGATATATTATTAATATATAAACAAAGTAAACTACAAGGTAAGTAAAAGTCTAACGCCCACGTGTGAGCGACTACAAGCGAAGAAAAATAATTTGCTGGCACGCTAAATTTTATGCTGTAAAATCTCGCGCAGTAAAATCTGTCCATCGCTACATGCAAAACGATTTCTTAAGACAGTAGTCCAATACTACTACTCGCCATTCGCCTTATTTTGCTAAACCTGAATACAAATTATTTTGCGGTAAGAACAAATTAATGTACGTAGGAAAATACTATTTTGTTCTAATTAACGTTCTAATTGAAGCAAGATAACGTGTCAAGGACAAATCCACTCGATTGGATATTTTCTATCCTGGCAACAAAAGTGTTTCTACTCTGCGAATAATTTGCTAATTTGGGAAACTCCGCGTCAGACTTATTTATTGAACTATTAGAAGTAGACCTATTTTGCTATTTAGCTCCTTTGTTGTAAAATTAAAAGCTTCACGCGGGTCCGCGAAATTTCGACTTGATATACCGCCAGCGCCGACGATCCGAGATGAATACGTAGCGTTTCGTTAGCACCGCCGCGAAAACGCGGTGATATATATCGTTACACACTGTAACGGCTCTTCGTCACCGCGTGAGGTGCGTATTTTTTTTCGGGAGACGTTTACGAGCCTCTCCGTGACCGGCGATAAACTTCCAAGTGCCGCGGAGCTCCGTTACGCTTTTCCTCGCCGTCCCGGAGGAAACGATCTCGCGCGTCCGACGCGAGAGAGTCAGTAAGAGCGGGCGTGTTTATTAGGAGTGGAAACGCGTCGAATTCCCACGGAGATTAATGCGTCTGTCATTCGCGTCTGACGGCGAGAGATTTCAAGACGGCGAATTAATCGGGGGAAGATGGAAGACACTTTGTGGAGAAACGATTGAGCTTGCACGAAGAGCGAGCGGTTCTCCACTTCTGCCGAATCGAACTCTCATAGGCGAGTGACGTTACCGTTGGGGAAAAAGTCCGGGGTATCTCGCGAGAGAACGCACCGGGGAAGTGTCGAGGAAGTGGAAGTTAGGTACACCGTGGGAGATTGATGGGGTTTATTGCCGCCCCGCGGAGCTTACTGGTTTCATCCATTACCCGCGTTACAAGCACTCACCTGCAAACTCCCGCGGATAAACCCGGCGAACGAAAGACAAACGACCGTCGCCGCACTGCCGGCTGTACCTATGCAGTCCTGCATGCGAAGAGCGAGGAGGGCTGTTGTTTCACGAATTCATTATCGGTCAAGAGCGAACGCGACGATGAAATTGTACTTCCCGTGAGAACAAGCGCGCGGCGATCAAGGCGTGACATTTCCGCTTCTGCGGAAACGGACATTGATATGCATTAGAGATAAGGACGGAAAATCTCTCCTCCCGTCGACGCAGTCCTACAATTCTTCCACGATAAATGCTATCCTAATTAATTGTCGAAATAAAATCTAACGTAGCACTTGATAAAGAATAACAGATGAAAATAACTTTCGGAAATTCAGTCTTTTGTTTTTACGCAATTACTGTGATCCAACGATTATAGAGTTATAGTTGCAGAAGGAAACTCTCAAGGGCGACCCGACGGTCGGCCGTTGGAAGAAAGAAAATGAAATTTAATTAGCACAGTGTACAACCGATCGAAGAAATAATTTCACGCCAGATTTTCATAAAAATAATTTCCGCAAATTTCTTCTCTCGTCTGTACGCGTTTGCGATAAAAAATGACCGATTTATAGTTATAGAGAGAAACTTTGAGTGCAAATATATGCGACCGGACGGATCGATCGTCGGACGAAAGCGTCAGCGTGAAATTTAATTAGTACAATGCACGCCTGATAAAAGAAGTAATTTTACGCCAGTTTTTCACTTTCGTAAAAATAAATTACGTAAATTCCTTCCTCCATCTGTGCGCGATGAAAAAATGGTCGTTATAATTACGGAGAGAAACTTGTAGAGTGTTCATATATACGACGGTCGTCGGAGGAAAAAGCGTCGGGACAAAATTTAATTAGCACAGTGCACATCTGACGAAAGAAACGGTCTCACGCCAGTTTTTCACGTACGGCGTGAATAATTTCCGGAAATTCCTTCTCGCGTCTTTGCGCGATCGCGTCTGAAAAATGATGAAATTGCCTGTTTTACGTATCGCGGTGTCTTCGCCGAGACAAGAATTGACGTGAAAGCGAGCGGACGACGGTCGGCCGGCGGAAGAAAGCCGCGATCGATTCCGGGACGCTCTGTATCTAAATCGAGACTTATGCAATATGTATCGACGATACTTTCTATGTGCGTGAAGGCTTCGCAGCTGGGCATGCTACTGGCAAATGTGGAAAGGGCGTGTCTGCTTGTGACGGCGATCCACGTTTTGCTCGATAAGAACGTCGATGCGGAGACCTTCACTCTGGGATACATCACCGGCTCGAAGCGGCGTCCAGGGGATTTAGAGTATCACCGGCCGGGCTCCCGCATCTCCGGGGCTATGACTCTCGCAGTGGAGGAGGCGAGTAATCGCGGCGGCCGCCGTAATACATTACCGCTCGACCGCAATTAGCGTTCGCGGAAGCGGATAATTAAATTTGACAATTGCAATCACGCGGAAGCACGATTACCCGGTTGAGCATCGATTACGCGAAATTGGAGCGGCTTGCGGTTGATACGCGGAAGAACGTGTCCGGTTTATCGCTCTCTCGGAAATTGCGCAAAACACGCTCGCGCGATTAGGAAGGCGCTGTTTAAAGAGCGCCCGGCTTTTAAAGCACGCGGTAATTTCGCGCGATCGCTCGTGCGGAAGCGATCACGCGGAGCGTTGCGTGTTCGCGCTGACCGGCGAACGGAGGGTAAAGAGAAAAGGTCCCGCTGATTTTGCCGACTCGCGGAGGGATCGAACGGGAAATCGAGAGATGAGTCGAAAACAGCGCGCGTTCGGAGAGCAGGATCATCCTTCCGAAGCCGCGTTCTCGCCGCGAGACGTTTACCTCGGAGACCTTAGAGACGCTTCTGCTTGAAACGCAGGTGAACGCCGGCGAGCTCGGCAGGCGCGGCCACAAAATCGACATTTTAATGGCTGAGACTTACGGCGAGGAGGAGAAGAGCATTTTTTTCACGGCGGATCTCTGGAGGAAAAACATCAGTGCTTATATCGGCCCGCAGGAGACGTGCATTCACGAGGGCCGAATGGCGGCCGCATTTAACATCCCAATGATATCCTACGTAAACGATCGTCATTTTAATTCTATCGCGCTTAGAATAAGAGCTCAGACACAGGGGAAAGAATAAGGAGCAAGGAATTAAGTATAGGGAATTGGGAATAACATAATAAGAATAAGCTATAGTTTAGAACGTACGATGAAAGGGTTTAAAACGTACGATGAAATTCATCGCTTTTACTACTTCCTAATGAACCTCTATTGTCATCATCAACGTCTCTTTTATCACTTTCTTTGTAATTGTCGATCGTTTCAGAGTGATTTTCATTTGTATATCGATGGCCGTCAGACATCTTAGAAGTTAATTTTCAGTCAACTACTAAGCTCTGTAAACACACAAGTTATAAGGAACAGAATTTCCTAACCCTAGTCCCTTATTTTTTTTTATCATGGATTGAAGTACGGTTGCCCATGTGTCGAAATTGAATTCTTCGTCCCTAATTCTCTATATTCAATTCATTGTTCCTTATTCCTTTCATCGTGTCTGAGCTCTAAAGAGACTCCGGTCTTTTCCGTGCGATCAACATTTCTCTTGCTTTTCTTTCGCGCGTCCGCATTGTGTAACGTTTCATAAACGGATTGCGAGGACTCCAGGAGAATACGGTGTTCGTAGCATTTTTATTTGCATTTCGAGTTCTCTCGCTATATTGTGTCTCTCATTTGACCCGAATTGAATGTCGATAGAATAGAGAAGGAGAATCGACCGGAGAAAAATGAATGGGAGATAAAAATGGATAAAAGCGAATGAGAATTAAAGGATCGCAAGGACCTTGAGGAGTAAAAGTTAAGTAAAATTTGAGGAGTTGTAAAATGTTGTAAATTAATGAGAGTATAATTTTTTGGTTATGCGTACAGAATAGAATTTAAATAAACATTGTGATGTTAATATTCATCTTAAAATTGAATTTTTTAATATCAAGATAACTTATTAAAAATGTGCTTAATAGACGTATACAATAAAAAAAAAATTCATACTCCTATTAATTGACAACTCCTGAAATTTTACCCAATTTTTACTCCTACCAGCGTTTCGTGATCCTTTAGGAGAAATTTCACTAACGATCAATGTTCTTCCAGTTTTGCACGCATCGCGAAACGTCGAATAAAGAGGAATTCCCAACATTCGCGAGAACACGACCGCCCGATACGCAAATCTCGAAATCCGTCGTTTCTGTGTTATTGGCATATAACTGGACGAAAGTGAGTATTGTATTGTCGCATGCTTTGATAAACGCGCTTATAACGTCGCTAATGGTAAAATCAAACCTCGAGCATAAGCGCTTCGCTATCCCATCGCTACTCTTAAAAGCTCTCCATTCCAATTTTATCGTTTCGATCTTTCGTCCAGGTGACGTTTATGTACATGAATTCGACTATGTATGAGTTCAACAAAATGTCAACGGTCGCGACGACGATCCTAGAGTCCTTCGAGGCGGCTGGCATTAGTTTGAATCATATTCGGTGCTGGGAAGAGCCTTATTACGCGACGCACATGCAAAATCCGTTCCGTGAGCACGTTAAGGACACGTATCTCGACACAAGAAGTAAGTAATGCACGGAAAAAGATAATTGGCTGCCACAGCTAAAAACTGTCTATATAATACAAATGAAATTTAGTTACCAGACTTAGTTTATAGCTAATTCCTCTTTTTCTCTACGGGGATAACTCTTAACCCTGAGAGTGATCTTGATGCTAAAATAATATCATAGGTCTCTCAGGCCTGCGTCACGAAAAAAAATTATAAAAATCATAGATCACGGATAAAAATGGAAAGGTAAAAGGTAAAGTAGAAGCGTAAAGTTCGAGACGCGTCCTCTCATCATCAACGATCCATCTTCGAGGCCGACTTCCTCCGACGTTGATCGTTTTACGCGGGCTTTCGCTTCTTCCCGATTCGAAAGTTTCACGCGTCGCGCGCCGTCCGCGAGTACCTTTCGCCCGATCGGCTTGCACATGTGATCCAAAATAGACTACCCGCATTTCGGTTCCTCGACATTCGACACTGCGACACGATGGCACGAAGCCTGCATGAGGCACAAACCCGCATATTACGGGTGTCCCGACTTGTGAATAGAGCGTGGCTCTCGTTACTCGCCTCATTAGTCACGCGCGCGCACGCCTATTTAGATAAATTAAAACCGGGTTCTAAAAATAAGCACGCTTCTCTTTCCACGCACAGCCGGTTTTAGCAATTCCGTTTCGATGAAGCGGGCGCGATCGCACAATCCGGGAAGAACCTCCAAATACGGCGCGACGTTTCATTAATAAGTACGACGCACGTGTGCGGTGTGTTTCAGTTTACGTAATACTCGGGCATCATTATGAGCACATGGGTCTCTTGATGGCTCTGGACGAGAAAAAACTCTTGGAAAAAGGTATAAACACTGCCTGTACAATAATCAGGTACATATATTAGAGAGTAGCCGTCATTAGGTGTAGTTCAACCACGTTGCGCTATCGCAGATGCAGAGTTCTCTGATATTTTTCACAGTTCGGCATTTTCCTCCGGTTTCCGGATCGAGCCGGAGTAAAATAGTCGCCGCGGGCAAGATGCTGTTTCGTTTATCGATTCGCATTTGTCGCGATCTCCGCCCGATCGTTATTCTTTCACCGCGTAAGAATGTAAACTTTTAAGCGGATACTTTGAAGATCCGTTATTATTCTTCGCGTAGTCTCGTAAGTTTCCGAGCGTCGTCTCTCGCCGTGCCGTTTTTGTCGCTCGGCGAAAGAAAACACTCGGCGATTTGATGCCGCAGGCGAATATTGGGTCGTCGGTGTCGACATCGAGCAATATGATGAGGAGCGACCGGACAAGTATCTTCGTGGACACTGGCAACGGGAGAGTAATCTGCCGATAGAGGCGTATTATAACTATTTCAGCATCGTTGCATCGGCTCCGATCAACATTACGAACTTTACCCGGCTGGTCAACGAATACAGGCAGAAGCCGCCGTTCAATTTTACGAATCCGTTGAAGAAAATGAAAGGAATCGTTCAGGTGACTAATACAAATCACAGTATTACGAAATTACGTTGAAGCCCCTGCGCGAATCCGAAGACACGGGATTACGAAAACCTTACGCCCACACGTATACTAAATCCAAAGAAATCGTTCTCTCTGTTACATTTCTCTGTATTATATCATTACCACATTAACAAATATCAAATATCACACATATATCGTTGCGAGAAACGTAATATTTGTCCAATCTTTCTCCAACAGCGGCTCGATAACCGACTGCCACGAGAACGCCGCAAGAAAGCCGTACCGGAATATTATACGAACTAATCGCCACGCGCCAGTGCAGTTTAAATTAAAGCTTTCGATTGCGTACGGCTTTGCCGTATTACCATATCACGCTTCGGAATGTCCTGTAAATAACAACGCGTTCCATGCAGGCACTCGCGGGTGAATCCTCCGCGAGCAACCTCGGAAATGATCACACTCGTTCACCCTGTCATTATCGTCTTCGCTCGCGACGACTCCGTCGATCCATGTAATTCGGGGCCGATATCTCCCGGTCGAATCCACCCCCGATCTCCGAGCGTAATCGTTACTTTGTGTTATAAGGCAGATCGTGCCGGAGACGGCGTACCTGTACGACGCGGTGCACCTTTACGAGAGATCGCTGCTGCACGCCCTGGACGAAAAGCGGGACCCACGGGACGGGCGGAAGATGGTGTCGACGCTGCACGGGGTTCATTATCAAAGCGCGATGGGGTACGTACACACACACACGTCGAGTACGGGGAGGGCGGAAGAGCGCGCGGAATAAAGGCGCGATCGCCCGGCGCGCGTCGTAACGTTTTACGACATGCAAATCAGATGCCTCACGAGGGAACGTCACCCGGCAATTTCTCGCTGAAAAGGGCCGACCGACACCGAGGGAGCAGGGCGTACGCGTGCCCCTCGGTGTATTTTCGGCGAAGTAATTACCGTTTGCATACCGTAACGAGGTCGTCGAAGTCGGAAGCTAAGCGATTTATCATCCAGGGATCGCCACGCTAAGATTTGCAGCGCGGTGATTAAGGCAGAATTATTGCGCCGGCCGAAACGCGCGCGCCGGCGGGGAAGAAAGGATTCGTTCGGCGATTAAAAACGTTCCGCGCTTTATGACGACGAGACAGAGGGGGAGGGGGGAAAAATTAAAAGAGAGAGAGAGGTTCGAGCGAGCCGACGGTGAGAAACGTTTCAATCGGATCTGAAGCAGCCTCGGACGGTGTTCGCGCGACTTCGTTACACGGGACGCCTCGCGAAACTGGGTCTTCCGGTTTGTTCGTACTTCATTCTGCGCGTTTAAGTTCGATGGAAAATCACCGCGTGTTGGACTCTAGAATAGACTAACGGTGCTTCTTCGAGATGTAGATATTTTTTACGACTTCCTTCTCTCCTCCGTTTTTCGTCCTATCAATTTTCCCCTCTTACGTAACATTTCTGTAAAAATATATATTTGCATTAAAAAGTCTTTGAGAGTTTTCGTTTTTTTTTCTTTTTTATCGCTACACGTCTGCAAAACGTAGGGTTAACAGCATAGGCTTAGAATAAAGAGATTTAAGATTTTAGGATCAATAACGCGCGTCTCTGAGAATTCTCTTTGACGGAACCGATAATTTCTAAGCGTAGGAAGAAATTCGAATCCCCCTTTATGTTTTTCACGAAATGTGCGCGACCCCCTAATGTACCTCCTCGATTTCAGTTGCTCGATAAAGTCGGTTGATATCGTACCTGCGCCAGTTCGATGTCGGGATTCGTAATAGCTGTCAATAACCATAAACTCGAGTACGAATGAAAAAGGAACGATCGGCCGTGAAGTAACTTACGGAGATCAACGAATACGCAGCTATTGCTGCGAGAACACTTGATTTTCGTCGAAGAGAAAGATATCGGTCGGAAAATATTACGTACAATAAGAAGTAATATTATTAATTATGCTCTCTCTTTCTCTCTCTCTCTCTATCTTGCGCAAATATTTTGCAATTAGTAAAATCATATTAGCGTAATGTATTATTAACGCAATTCCCTTAATCAAACGTTACAATCCTCGCGAGTTGGAACTGTCTCGCGATACACAGACGTCTACGTAATCGATCTATATCAAGTTTAAGGGAATTTGCAGATACATGGTATACATGGATGAGAATGGAGATGCCGAAGGCAATTACACTCTGATTGCGTTGAACAACAGATCTACGAAAGGACTTTATCCAATAGGGATCTTCGTCGGGAAAATGCCAGGGACGAATTTGCCGGTAAGCGAGCTACTTTCCTCGCCGTAACGTTGCTTCGTGTCTAAAGAAAAAAATTAATATTAACAAAAATACAGAGCCGTAATCTGTCAGTTTTCTATTAGGGAATAACAGCGTTAGCTCTAATTATAGTTATAAAGTTTCGAATAAAAACAGTTTTTACCGAATGTTTCGGCGAATTTCTTCGATTTCTGTTCTAACAGTAGAGAAAATTCGTTTAGAAAAATTCACGTGTACTTGATTAAAACCTGCCGCATTTACTTTTTTCCGTAAAGAAGACGAGAGAACCAAAAGAATCCGCGGTAAATGGAGAAAAAACGGTTTTACTCCGAAACTTTAAAATTATAACTCTAATTCACGAAGTTGTCGAGTTAGCTTCCGATCTAATTAAACTTCTAATGAATTGTAGGAGCTTAAATTGACCGGGGAAATACAATGGGTTGGGGGCGGGCCGCCGGTCGCGGAACCTTACTGCGGATATCACGGTGAAAAGTGTAACTGTGAGTAACGTCCGATCACTTATCACTCTTACCGATGTCTTCGCGCCCACGCGAGCACGCGATTCGCTTTGGCGCGCCTTCATGAAAGGATTAATATATATTTGCGACAGAGTAAACGCGCGCGCTATCGCGAGAATGTGTTTGGATTCCGTTGTAGTTCATACCGGCGAGATTGTGGGAGGCATCGTTGGCGGATTGGCGTTCATTATCACGGCGGTCGTTCTGATCCTCTATAGAAACTGGAAGTACGAACAAGAATTGGATTCCTTGCTCTGGAAGGTGAACTACAAGGACATCCAGATCAAGGAACAGAAGAAGGACGAAACGGGAGCCAACGAGGCGCCCGCCAAATGCAATTCCAAGGTAACTGCCCCGACGTTGCCGCTCGTATTCTCGTGGAAATTCTCGTGCCCGATATTTCCTCGTGCTTGCTTCCATCATCTCTCTCTTTCTCTCTCTCTCTCTCTCTCTCTCTCTCTCCCTCTCTCTCTCTCTCCGGGCAATTGATCGTACGGTGAACCGAAATCGTTCGCGCTCGCGATACACTTAGCTCGCTTTCAACTCCCGCCTCGTCGATCTTTGTAAAAAATAATTACGTCGTGGAAATTACTGCAATGGGTGCTTTTCATTTAGTGACACAAGCATCATTTTATCTTCGTTTCAATGAGTGACGAAGATAGGCTGATGCTTGTATCGACTTGCGTCGCTAAATGGAAAGCACCTGATACAAACTGTTCGATGTAAAACATACACACAGAGAATTTTTCTCGAAGGCGAAAATTATACGAAATAATCTCAAATTAAATCCAAATTAATTCTGAAAAATGATATTAAATAGATCGATTCGTTTGACATAAAGCCGCCAACAACGCAACCTATAGTGCGAACCAGCCAAGTCTCGCTGAGCTCGAATCCCGACGCGGACTTCCGGTATTCCATGATTTACACGCAGATCGGCGTGTACAAAGGGCGGATATTCGCTGTGAAGAAAGTCAGAAAGAAATCGATCGAGATCACGCGGGAAATGAAGAAGGAACTGAAAATGGTAACGTGCTCGGCAGATCGTCTTAATTCAATTCGCAATTATCGCGCGCATTACGACGGCGTTGCCTACTTTCAGATGCGCGACTTGCGGCATGACAATCTGATCTCTTTCATCGGCGCGTGCACCGACCCACCCAATATATGCATCGTCGTCGAGTACTGCGCTCGTGGCAGTCTTAAGGTCGGTAATTCCTAAGGAATTGATATAAAATATTTATATCAGTACATATTATACATGTCGATCGATATTGATGTCGCGAATTATTATCTTGACTCTATATTCTCAACTCACTTTTATTGATAAAAGTTGTCTTTAATGCGGCTTCTCAGTCAATCAGGTAATTTCTAAGCCACTTATTTCTAAAGCACTTTTATCAATAAAAGTGAGTTAAGAATATGGATTTTAATGTCCGTAATCTCGAATTCTCCACGAAAGGTTCTGCATCAAAGTGTTCTTCTTCTATTGTTTTTTTTTAGGACATACTGGAGAACGAAGACATAAAACTCGATAATATGTTCATGGCGTCCCTGGTCGGTGATATCATTAGAGTGAGTTTCCTTCAATTTTGTCCGGGCATTAAAGCGCCTTCCTCTGTCTTCAAACTTCGTCCGCTCGACGGACAATATTTTTTCGCTGAAAAAAGTTGTATTAAATTTCCTCCGTGCAGCGTCGAACCGCCAGATGAAATGTCCGTAATGTTAGAAGGGCAATTTTCCAAACTTGTCCTCATGTTCCCCCGTCGGCGAACTTTTGCGCTACGAGTGAGAGCGCGCGTTGTCCGGAACTTTCACGGTTCCGCGATGATCGCTGGTATTCAGAGAGGTTACCTCCTCCTCTTTTCCCATTTGACGACTTTAACTTTCAGTTTTAATTTCGATATACGATCCTCTCTCGTGCCTTCTTTTCAATCGACAACTTCGATTGCAAGTTTGATGCTACTACATGCTTCTCCGCTACCCCCTTGGATTCACGCATACGCTCTCTATCGTGTATCGTGGAACAAAATTTTAACGACCACTGATCGTTAGGTTAACTTAATTACGAAATGTGATGCTTCGCCGTTATGCAAATGTCAGACCGACTCCCGAGATCGTCCATTAATCGTATTGCCTCCCGGAACAGCTCTCAGCCTGAGAACTCAATTTGAAGAACTTAATTTAAGTATCTCACGTGTGAGACAAGTTTGAAGTAACCGGTATGTAAATACAGGCCTCGCTGATGCGATAAACAAGCGAATAGCGTCTTGCATTGTAAATTCGCACCCGACCGGCGTCTCGTCTTTATGTCCGACCTCGCGCATCGGGACGTTAATGACCGTCACTTTCGAGGGGTAAATTGAACGCTGTCTTTTAGGGCATGATCTATCTGCACGAGTCGGTCATAAAGTACCACGGATCGCTGAGCACGTCGAACTGCCTGGTGGATTCGCGGTGGGTCGTAAAGCTGGCGGATTTCGGTCTCCACGAATTCAAGCGCGACGCGGAATGTGATCCCTGCGACGTCATAAAAAAATATCACGGTGAGCACGATGAGAGAAGATGGTGATTCTCGCGCGAATCCCGTACACTTCCGTCTCCCGAAAGTCTCGATGGCCTTCGAATATTTTACGCCGGTCGTAATCTTCTAATCTCATTCGCTATTTGAATACGTAGCGCGCTCTCCGCGCGAACTTGCGAAAAAACAAATATATAAGAGAAGTTGTCAGGGACTCTCGCGAAAGTTCCGACCTTTACTCATACTTCCTTCATTGATAATTAACTTGAGCACATTCGATTAAGTATCTGCCGTCGTTGTGCATTACTTTGTCCCATCTTTCAGGCAGTTGTATGATTCTGCGTCGTGACACGTCTTTTGAACAAGATAATCGATAATCCGGCCGAACTTTTGCATATATAAGCGAAATGAGTCGCACGGAACGCAGAGACCGAGGCAAACTCATAGCTATCTACCGTGATAACTCGTAAACGGCCGCTAATTAATTAACACTATTACGTAACTTCCAGGATTGCTGTACAAAGCGCCCGAGTTACTGCGCTCCAGCGGTCTCGGCGAGCCGAGCGCGCGTGATTTTCAAAAGGGAGACGTCTACTCGTTTGCCATAGTATTGTACGAGCTTCAAGGGCGGCATGGGCCCTTCGGCATCACGCAATTGTCAGCGGCCGAGATACTGAAGAAAGTAATTGCGAGGGATCCTGAAAGGCCACCGTTTAGGTAGACGATTAAATTGACTAGATATATAGATAATATAACCGGATAATATATAAACAATATAGCCGTTTTTGATCCAAAGGCCTCGTACGTCGTTTAACAGTTCTTCTGTGAAACAATTGCAGACCGCCTTTGGAGCAACTGGAGAATACGTTCGATTTCGTTCGCGACTGCTTGCTAGAGTGCTGGGAGGAAAATCCGGATTGCCGTCTGGGGGATTTCAAAATTATACGAAACAAATTGAGACCCTTGCGGAAAGGCATGTGAGTTCTCCCTCTTCTCCTTTTTTATAATATCGTTACGAATGTTATTTTGTCAATCGGTGTAAATCGTATACAAGCGTAAACGTACGGCTTTATCGTATAGGAAAGCGAACATTTTTGACAATATGATGTCGTTAATGGAACAATATGCGAATAATCTCGAAGCTCTCGTCGATGAGCGCACGGATCAGTTGACTGAAGAGAAGAAGAAAACAGGTCAGTCGTCTTGATCAATATGTCTTAATGAAGATTTCGTTATTGTCGTGGATAAAACTTCAATTTGATCCTTTATCTCTTTTAGATGCGTTGCTGTATGAAATGTTACCGCGTTACGTGGCCGAACAATTAAAAAAGGGGCACAAAGTGGAGGCTGAAAGCTTTGATTGTGTTACCATCTACTTTAGTGATATCGTCGGTTTCACGTCTATGTCTGCGGAAAGCACACCGTTGCAGGTATAAACATCGTATTTTACGTGAAAATTACTTCGCTTAAAAATTATATTTCACGCTTCGTTTAATTATCTATAAATAATAATACGTCTCGATAAAATTAGAATTAGAGTTGGAGTATTAGAATAGAGTGATATACAGAGAAAAAATTTTCTTTGAATTTAATATTTACTATACATATTTGTTTGACTTGGGTTTGTTTAATATAAACATAACTTCATGTCAAATAACATTTTGTTTGAATGAAAATATTACTGTTTCACCAGAGTAAACCATGTTGTTTGATAGGAGACATAGTTTTATTTAGAGGAAATAATATCTGGTCCTTAATAAAAGAGAAAGATTTATTTAATTATATATTAAATATTGTTCCACTTAAATAAAAAGTTCTTTAATGTTTTTCTAACATAATGTTACTTCTTTCAAATAATTGATTACCTGTGACAACTATTGTAACATTTAAATGAAAATATAAAAGAAATCTTTTACGTAAAAATATTTATTATTTGGGAAACCAAACAATCCTATTTATTGAATCAAAGATTCGTTTGTTAGCTCCATTCCAAATGATAATGACTCAATTAAAGAAATTTTATTAAATCCAAAGAAATCTGTTTCTCTGTGTAAAGTTAAAGTTAAATGGAGTATTAGAATTAAAATTGAGCTCAGTTAGGGACAATTTATTTGCTATAATTTATTTCATTTATCGATTATCGTCGCGGTAGTAACCAAATTTACTTAAATTTCTGTCCAAGGTGGTAGACTTCCTAAACGATCTGTACACTTGTTTCGATTCGACGATACAAGTTTATGATGTGTACAAAGTCGAGACCATCGGAGACGCTTACATGGTGGTGAGTGTCATGAGACTAAAACCATTACGTGCGGATAATTACGAAATGTCAATGAAAAAATCGTCGCTCAGTCGCATTTTATTTTCCCCTAGGTGAGCGGACTGCCGATAAGAAACGGTATTCAACATGCCGGCGAAATAGCGAGCATGTCGTTGTGCCTTTTAGACGCGATTAAGCAGTTCACCATCCGTCACCGGCCGCATGACAAACTTCAACTCCGAATAGGAATACATTCCGGTACGCTTCCGAAACGAAAAGGAGAAACACTCGAATCGGGAAATGATAAAGTAATCGTAGGTGTCCCGTGATATCGCGAATTAATAATGATCTTTCGACAGGTCCGGTATGCGCTGGCGTTGTCGGATTAAAAATGCCGCGTTACTGCCTATTCGGAGATACGGTAAACACAGCTAGTCGCATGGAATCCACAGGGTTAGGTGAGTGTTTTCTTTTTTTTCTTTTGTGGTAATTTTTACCGTGTACAATTTGTATTTTCCCTCGACGTTACCGACACAAATTTCGCATTTCACACCCCGTAGCGCTGAAAATCCACTGCAGCAGCGAGACGAAGGAGCTGCTGGACGAGTTGGGAGGATTCACCCTCGTCGAGCGCGGGGTGGTTTCCATGAAGGGTAAAGGCGAGCGTTTGACGTACTGGTTAATCGGCGAGGACCCGATTCTGCGCAGCGAGCGTAGCAAGGAGCGAACGAGCAAACGCAACAGCAGCAAGAAGAACAGCGTGACCGATCCGTTAGTTCCGCGAAGCTCTCTGAAGAACAAATCCTTGGTCAGGTCGACTTTCATGCGATGTTCCAGCGAGTCCCCGAAGCGGCTGCGATTCGCCAGCTCGGACCAGCTCGATCAGAAGAGCTCGAGGGTGAACAGTCAGCTGGAGTCGATCGTCGACAACAGTCCTTGCAAGACCAAGACCTCCTGCGCGATACGATCGTCCTGCATGGAGAGCTGGAGGTCCTCCAGCAACTCTTGCCCCTGCGTCGAGAAGCTCTGCGATCAGGAGGCGCAGCCAGAGCTGCTGCAGCACAAACTGCCGTCGGACATCAAGAACGCACCGTTGCTGCGCACGAATCTGATATTCGGCAACGAGTCGTGTCTGCCGAGAGCCGGCACCGGCAAGAGCCTGCGCTTCGGCACACCCGGACTGCTTCAGGTCACCTGCAGATCCGCACCGAGCAGTCCCAGGCACAGCACGACGGTGCTGAACGCCCAGAAGAGAGCGGCCCAGTCGAACGAGGAGATCGACGGATGGGACGCGATGACGCCGTTGATTTATTATCCGGGTGGTCGTCTGGATAATTGAGAGAGTAGTCAAGCAAGCCTTCGGTCGGTAAAATTCGAGCGGGACATGTATTCATGCGGGGACGAACACGCGAATGCCTTGCCGTTGCCGTCGTGGTCGAGCGATTTGAGGAAAAACCGAGTCGTGGAAACCGTGGAGATGTATTCGCACGTGTAAGAGGGTATCTCTGTGGAAACAACTTGACAATCGACAGACAACCCTGATGAATGTGAACGATATTGCGGATTCTTGTATCGGTCGAACGTCGTAAACCGAGTGGCATATGGAAGAACGTGAGCGGTAAAACTCAAGCAGTAAGCCGATTGCGATTCAGTCGCACATAATATTCGAGAATCATCGAGAGCCATAAGATTATCACGTTGAAACTGTAATCGGCCGGCTCACTTAAGTCTTGCTGCTCACGTTTTTCTGCGCAGAACGCCAGATTTAAGCGAATAACTGCTTCAATGGTCCTCAGCAACTCTTTACTTGGATCAAGTAAGTATTTACTTGACACAAGTAAAATATTTTCCAAGTGTACCATCCAAGTAAAATATCCACTTGGTTCGAGTAAAATTTACTTAATCCAAGCGAAAATTTGCTAAGGAACATTGGAGTAATTATTTACTTGAATCCAGCACTTTTTTTCTGTGCGTGCGCCATAGCCTTAATCTCGCGCTACGTTGTGTCGTAAGGCGGTTTCCAAACGGCGAGATTTCTTGCTCGCAGTAACACGACGTACCAAAGCGCACTATATGTACAAACAAGATGTTTTACATACACACCATATATCAACGTATCGTTTATAGCCAATTTCCTATCTATCTCTCCCTCCCTCCTCCCTCTCTCACCCTCTCTACCTATCTATCTATCTCCCTCCCTCATGCAGGAACGTCAGCACGTAAAAATAGCATATTCCTTACATTAGCATAGACAAACGTAAAAGGCTCGTGCTTCTTATGCTAAGTAAGCGTCTAGTCAGTGTTACTTTAAGCGTCACGTTCAATTGTCTCTTGCATTTCTATGCGCTGTCGAATGTTATTTTCCAACGTGGAGGGTTAGAGCCTTCTGCAAACGTTGCGTGTGGATTCACACCGTCGAATCTCACCGTCGTGCGAGACGACAAAAGTATTATTAATATTCTTACACATTTTGCAGAAACGTATCTTACCGAATAAGCGCCATGTATAATTTAAGAGGAAGATATATGTACTTACGCGACGCATTTCTTCATTTTTTCTATCCCTCTCCGGAGAAGAAACGTATCTCACTAAAATATTAAAGAATAAGAAAACGTATTTAATATCATCGTCGCGTGCTGCGAAGGAGTTTCCTTGAAATTCGTTAAATGTTTCAATCGGGGAAATTCGTCGATTGAAATTTTAACGGTTTGTTCCGAGGTATCGATCGATAACAAAATGGAAGGGCAACGCGCGCGCGTATAAAACTTGCAGGGGAAAGAATGTACGTGTGGCTACGTCGAAAAGTGCTTTCGGACAAAAAATTTCGTGAGCAAGACAAGCTTTTAGGGGAAGCATCAGGAATGCATAGAAACTAATCCTTCGGAAGAATACAGTTTTCATTGAATCTGTAACTGAGCTCATTATTTTTTATTTATCTTTATCGACCTCTCCATTTTCGAGAAAATCTAATCGATATTGTTATAAGTTTCGTACGACCGGGGGAACGATAACTCCGTCGTTCCTTTTGGAATCCATCGCCGTACGCGCGCCATAATGCGCAATTTAATTTATGTAGCCGTCGTGTGCAAGTGCAACGGCTGCAAACGTGATCCGACACACGCGAGCGGCGCGTGATAGAGAACGGCGACAATAATACACCAAGATCCATTAAATTATTATTATTGAGGAAATTAATTAAATGCGACCGGCACGGGGGCGATTGCGCGTATTACGCGCATATATATTCTCCTTTTATCTCGCGTGCGTTACCGATTGTCGATCGACATTTGAAAAAAAGGAGCAAAGTCGAGAGACGAGACGTCGACGCGTCCAATGAATCGCGCGAAGGACACCAATCGTGGCGCGAAAAGACAAAAAGGAAACAGAAAGAGAAGGAAGACAAACAGCCAGTGACTTCGGATTATTCGCTCGAATAAAATTTCTCTGCGATACTCACACGCGAGCGTTCCGTCGCGCGGGCTGAGACTTTCGCGCCGCGTCGTTTACACCAACGTATGTCGAGCCATCGTCTTTCAGGAGCGGGACTCATTGCTCAGGCCGCGAAATCCTGCTGCTACAACAGCCCGATTTCAGGACGATTTTTTATACGTTAAAGTGTGCAGAAGACAAGTGTAATGGAAACGTCGTTGAATTGACGATGAAGAAACTGATTTTTTAACGCCGTGCATTTCGCGAGATCTGAAACCAAGAACTGTCGACGTGAAGTGAAACAAGTATTAATAAGTTCTCTCTCTCTCTCTCTCTCTCTTCTGTCCGAGCCCGCATGTTTATGCATATTTTCATAATTCATGCTTCATTAACGTTGTATTTGCTTTGACACCGTTTCTCTCTCTCTCTCTCTTATGTTCCAAACGACCTAAACCACCGATTGAAACTGGTTTATTTACGCAAACGTAGCGCAGCATGATACGTCGTATTTTCAGGTGCGCTGAATCGATTATCGTGCAAATTATGTCTACATTCTATGATTTATTTCTGCTATTAATAGAAAATTTCTGGCGGGAATGAAAGAACACGTTGAGGTAAATTTGTAGTTCGACAGGCACGCCCGGAACTAAAAATATTGACGATAGAAAATGCCACGAAGGAATCTTTCTTCGCTTCGATTTGCGCGTTTCGCTACGGCGCGAGAACGCGTGACGACAAAGGTGGCGACGGTCCGTCCCGTCTTCGCCTACGTGCGAATGTACCGTGCAAATACGAAACTCTGACTTCTGAATTTATTGCACGAATTACCGTCCGCAGGTGCTCGCGACGAGCTCGAACGAGCGGCAATCGAAATCGATCTTTCGTACATCGACGCTCGGAATGCACGACGGATTCGACGTGACATATTACCATCTATTATATAACGAGCGATTTACCTGTTGCTGAATAATAGAGCAGGATCTTCGGCCGACAATGTCTTCTGGTTTAAAGGGCAATCGATGTCAATAGAACGATCACGCGACAAAATGATAGCGTTATCTAAATCATGGCAATGCTCATACAGCACAGACCCTCCAAAGGACGTCCCTAAAAATGTCCCTGTTATCCTACAGAATGTATCCACAGGACGTCTATATGATAAAGTGTGCTGTATGAGTGACAACAGACCGGTTTTCCGCCAACCTCACGAGGATCCGTGACGCCTCGGACACCCTGTATAACGAGGCGATTCTTATGTACAGAATGGGGTACCGTCTTATTTACGTTAAAGTGGTTGTCGGCCAACTTAGAGCAGTGGCCATCATTCAATCAAGCCGAACAATTTAAACAGCCCGATTCACGCAGCGAAATCATTTAATATTTGACATCAAGCACGATTATCGTATAACGGTACGTAATAGCCGTTTGTTTGTACAGGTTGCAAGCGGCGCCGTAATTTTCAAATGGCATATCTGTCCCCTGAGAACGACGTCGCCGAGCGTCGTCGTTAGCAATGTTGCAGAACTCTCCGCACACGCTCGCGAGATCGGGAACCTCACACCGAGCCGATGACACGCGCGCGTTAGGCCCCCTACACAATGCGCGACGACTCATCGGTGACAATTCTGGACGGAAATCTAAAATTTCGACAGAGGAACCCTCCGTGTGACAACGGACGACGCATTGCGTTTCAAATGAAACTGCAGACCGCGAGTTTCTTCTTCTTCCGAGAAGTGTTTTTTTTTTTAGATAAGTCTCTCATCGTGTGTACGAGTCTCAGACCTTCCTCGTGCTTTATTTCGCCGCTATTTCAATCGAAAACATTCACGAGAGTGACAAAAGTAATGTCCGAAATTCGAGGAATTTTGGAAAAATGTGCGCATATCATGTTAGATAAAGTTGAAAAATAGGAGGATGTTTGCGTCACTGCACGGAGGAAAATAATTTTGTTGTTGCAGCGAAACCATCGTTGCTGCTGTATATTCGTTGCAACGATAATACAGTTTAGTTGACGTAACCAAATTAGCAAGTTATTTGTAATTCGAGCAGAAACAGTTTTGTTGCCAGGATAGAAAATATTCTGCTCCGTGAGTTTAGGGCTTAGGGCAGATAAGTTAAGCACCGATTCTGAACTGATGATTAACGAACTATCAATATTTTAATGATCATAATTTATGATTATCAAATATCCTTTCTTATTTTGCCACTTGACCGCGGATTCGTCGGTTAATTCGATCCACGCATTCGGATCGTGCGAAATGCGTAATAAACATACGTTGTTTGAAAAATTACGCGATTTATCGCATTCCTTAGACGAAGAAAGAAACGGGTATTCCGCGAGAACGCGATTCGAGATCGTTAAGAGATCATAGGCTTCCACAGGCGTTAATAATAATCGTCGGCGGCGTAGCGTTATTCCGGCTTCACGCTCGAGCGCGTACGGTCTCTAGAACGTGCTTTTATTAGGCTCTCCTTCTGCCAGCCGCGAGTCTATTTATAGACTCGGAATTATCTTCCATCCGTCGTAGAAACAATACGGCGGTAACAAAAAAAAATGTCACGCGGGAATGACGACGTCTGCCGCGGCGCGACGCAGCGTATATATCTCGCGGCAACTCCTCGCGAGGAACGCTCATTAGCAAATCGAGGAGCGTCGATCGTCGTCGCTCTTCTTTCCGAGCGCTGCAGAAGCGAGCGTCCGCGAAGGGCGATCCGATAGAGTGACGCAATTTGAAAATTTCCTTCCGCAGAACGGCGCGCGGCCGACGACGACGACGAGACGCGATTGTATCTCGCGATCGCACCTGCGATGAAAACGAGTTGTTGTTGTTGTCCACGCACATGCGGTTACTTTACATAAGATATGCGCGCTTAAGCCGAACCCAAAATAAACTCGTCGCCGCGATTCGACACGACTTCGATCGCGACGATCCGACACGTCATTTAGTCTGATTTCCATCGGCGCGACTCCATCCGCACGCCGCGCAGCACTGTACACGGAGGTGCGGGAGAAAGCTTCGTAACTTCGGAATTTCTCCATATATTTCGTTATCTCATTACTTTTGCGTCTCTTCTTGAAAGTTCTAAGTTCACATGGAGGGTAATATTAACACATTGCGGACCAGACATTTTATTGCTAACCGTACCCAGTGGCCAGGTATGTTTTTGCGTCAAATATTTTTTAATTAGTAATGATTTGTTAGTAGTTAAAAATCATTGTCACGTGAAATATTTATTTTCAACAACAACTTTAATAATGAATGATTTTTCAATATTTTTCAATAAGTAAAAATTTGTACAAACTAAGAATTTTTCAAAGTATGATATTTAGTAAAACATGTAACTAAGTGAAGTGGAACACCACAAAGCTTGCAAACGTAGCGAGTTTCACTTCTTTTTCCGTTGATTTTGCACACTTTGCAACGTCTTGCCGGAAATTTGCAAC